AAGGACCCCACCACCATGGCCCAGCTGCTAATCACCATATTCGCTCCATAAGACACACAAACATTTCCACCCACTTTTTGTGGGTGAAGCGAAAAATATGGTATATATGAAGATGTGGAATTTAATTTTTTTTACTATGGATTTTAGAAAGGCAACCCTCTCTTAAGAATTCTCTCTTGGATTTTTGAAAGCATTGTTACCGACATCACTTTTTTCCAATTCATGAATTCTTCACTTAATTCACAGTTTGTCATTGACTGTAACATTTGATACATGGCATGTGCATGCATGCATGTCCAAGCTATAGAGGTCATTTCCTTTTTATCTTGAGAATTACATGGCTTTTTGTATCTTTACAACACATTTGTTGTTATTAGAACAGACGTGACCTTTTGGATAACTGAGCACATAATTTGGACCCTTCAAAGAGGCAACTTGTACAGTGTTATATTTCACTCTGACTGGTCCACAGTGCTTTTAGCAAAATTTTCTTTCTCGTGCATATCTAACCAATCCATAAATATGCCTCCAGAAATATCCCTTCAAACATAGCAGAGCAAATACGTTTCAGGGGTTACTGATATCCCCTGAAGAATGAATCCATTTTCACCTCTTAGTGCATTAATGAGAAATTCTTCTTTAATCAAATCTGTAATGATGTCAATGGGCTCAGAAGCAAAAGGCTAGCCTAGAATGTCTCTGCAATATAAGGAAATTTCTGCTCCCAATTTCCTTCTGGTCAGCTACGAGGTAACAACAATATTTAACATTCTTCAAGGTTTCCTTAGAACACTTGGCTGCTATAATGGAAAGACCAGATGAAGTGAATTTAAATGACCTTGCTTCTTTGAATTAGTAAAAATTGGTGTATTCGGGCACTAAATCAATAGCTGGCAGCAGCCTGGCCTTAGCTGTATGGGAGCCTGCAGTAGGCCTCTCATAATGTGGCATCTGAAGGATCTATTTTTCATACTGCCAGCATTTTGCCTAGCTCTCTCTCAGAACCCACTGTGCTAACACCTGTCTAAACTTGAAGTTTGGACTGAAAGTGGCTTAATAACTTGGCACTTGTGCTGTACAAAGCTACACGAGTTGCATGAGTTCCCAGGGGATTCAGGCGTGCTTGTTCTTAAAATCTGAAAACAGTTGACGGCTCCATTAATCATTTCTTTCAATCTCAAATCAGTCTGAAATTTTGCATAGCATTGTCACCCAAAGAGGGCTGCACCCAACAAAGTTAATAGTTCACTAAGCACATTCTATTAGAAAGCCTTATTAACATCATTAATTCTAATTAACATGACTGTTCAAACTCTACATTTATACCTCCTTAGTTGTTCGTGATGATGCGGTTAAAAGAAAACATGGGAATTACCAATGTTTTTAATGTTTGACAGAGAAATTCTTAGATATTCTTTATGATAATACTGTTGTTTTAGTATTCAGTATACTGCTATTTTAAATCAACAGAGACTTTATGGGGAATGAGTACAAATATAGTAAATAGAAGGAAATTCTAATGCCAGATTTAACACATTTACAATTACTCCTTGACTTCCAACTCCAATTGAGACCAGAACTGTGGTCATTAAGCAATGAATTTGTTAAGCGAATAATCACATGATTAGATTCATGTGATTATGAATCTAGTCATGTGATTATTTTATGTTTCACCACAATTGTTAAGCAAATCACATATTTATTAAGTGAATTCAGCTTCCCCAATGGACTTTGCTTGTTGGAAGCCAACTGGGAAGGTCTCAAATCATGATCACATGACCACAAAATACTACAACCTTCACAAGTGCTAGCTGGTTGCTAAGCACCTGAATTGTCAATCACATTACTGCAGGGGAGGTGAAGAGTCATAATTTTGATCATAAGTCAATTTTTTTCAAGGCTATGATAACTTTGAACTATTATTGAATGAATGGTTCTAAGTTGAGGAATACCTGACTCTATTTCTGATGGCATTGCACAAACTCACAAGAAAAAGTGGCTTATGATGCATTCTCTCAGTTATGACTGCTGCAGCACCACCCCTATGATCACGAGGTTACAATTCAGCTGCTTGGTAACCAGCCCTCATTTACAATGGTTGCAGTACCTTGTCATAAAATAACGATTTTTGACCTTGCCAATGGGCCTCTAACAAATCAAATCAAACACTATACTACTGTTATGCCAAATTTTAACAGTAAGTATGGATGCAAATACGGATCAAATAGTCAAGGTTTATTCAATAAACCTAAGGAACTAAACGTTATTAGCAATAGTAATAGCACTTAGACTTATATACTGCTTCACAGTGCTTTACAGCCCTCTCCAAGTGGTTTATAGAGTCAGCATATTGCCCCCAACAATCTGGGTCCTCATTTTACCAACCTCAGAAAGATGGAAAACTGAATCAACCTTGAGCCTGGTGGGATTTGGACTGCCAAATTGCAGGCAGCCAGCAGTCAGTTGAAGTATTCTGCAGTACTGTACTCTAACCACTGCATCACCTTGAAACAATATTTGAAACAGTATTTAAATATACAGTGTATATTTATGTGTGTTGTGTATGTGTAAAGTAACACTTCTTTAGCAAAGAAATAGCTACGGTAGTATCAGAAAATTATAATTCCTTTGGAAATTGAAGAAAAGGAAGAGGAGAAGGAAGAGGAAGAAGACTGACAGAGTCTTCCTTTTAAAATTAAGATTACTCCCCTGCCATGAGTTTACTTACCAAAATAAAAACAAACCAACACATAATACACCAGATCAGACATCTTTACAGTAATGCCATAATGATATTAGCTAGAGATAGTAACTATAAACAAGTAGAAAGTGATCAAAGAGAGATTAAAGTTTTTGAAGCTTATTTGTGCTTGATGATGCTTTCATATAGACAACCAGCACATTAAGGGATCTTAAAAAATTAAGCTATGTGTTTATTTACTTTTTAAATTATCCCTACCACCGTGGCACGAAAGTTTCTGAGTTAATGGTTAGAATATAAATAGTTTATTACAAATCATAACCATGCAACACTTGTATAATTCAAGTAATTCCAGTAGGAGAACCCATATAATTTTAGTGTAATGTAGCCACCTGAATACATAATGGCACAAATTTTGTTCTGTTGAAATAAGAAGGAAGAGGCAGAAATGGTAGGGAAAAGTCTTTAATATTACAAATTAATTGAAGTACATAGGAAAGCATGGCTTTTATAAAGATTTATGGATTGTAGATATGAAAGCATAGCAATAAAAATATTCAGTAGTATAAAAAGTAGTTGCCATTTAATTAAAATTTGTAATTAATAACTCTTGGAATACCAAGTCTTTTGGTTTGAAGTACATGTACATTGTTAGCATTTTATTGTTAGAAGATGTCTCTAGAAACTCTCTGTAATCAACCAATTCTTTTATGATAGAATATTCCTTCTTCACCTTCATAGCTCTCAATAATCCACTATAGAACAATGAAGGTAGACATTTTTCTGCTGGAAAACTTGCAGTGAATGCACATGCTGCAATTAAAATTATTTTATTTTTCTCCAAAGTGCCAAATATAAAGGACTAATCCCTGTGCAATTTTTTTTATACTCTCCAGTTATAGGAGGTACTTAAAAATAACTACTTTCTTCCATTAATTTGAAGAATTCCAGATATGAATTAAAAACACAATGTTAGTTGATGCCTATATTTAGCGGCTCAATCTTTGGATCAGTGAGATTGCATTGTGATAATGTTCTTGTGTGTAAACAAGGGTTGTGCATGAAACAGGAAACTCTTTAACAGTCCCATTGAATAAACTGGGCCAGATAAAAATGCCAATCCTCATTCTCAAGACGTCCAGTGCATGTAAACAGAACAGAATCCAGGATCACTAAATCATGTGTTGTGTTGTGGGTAAATTTGAGTGTCTTTATTCAGTAACAGTGGCCTAGCAGTTAAGATGTTGGGCTTGTTGACCGAAAGGTTGGCAATTTGAAACCCGAGCACCTTGTGATGGGTTGAGTTCTTGTTCCTTGCCTCAGCTCCTGCCTACCTAGCAGTTCAAAGACATGCAAATGCAAGTAGATAAATAGGTACTACTTTGGTGGGAAGATAACAGCATTCTGTGCACCTCGACATATTGTCATGCTGGTCACATGATCAAGGAAATGTCTTCAGATAATGCTGGTTCCCTTGACTAGAAAAGTACTGCACCCTGGAGTCAAACACAACTAGACAGGGGAAACTTTTACCTTTATCTTTTTTTAATCAGTATTTTTGTTTTTTTTACAAGAAGCCCCATTGCAGAAAATACCACTGAAATGTGCTCCAATAGAATACAAAAAATATATGTGCTTTCCCCCCGCCCAAATGTCCTTAGATATTCTCCGTTCTCCTGTGCAGGGCAACAAAAGAAGATCAGCTGGGACTCGGCAGGCAGAGAATAGATGGGGGCAGGGCCAGTCAGAGGTGATATTTGCCAGTTCTCCAAGCTACTCAAAATTTCCGCTACCGATTCTCCAGAACTGGTCAGAACCTGCTGAATACCACCTATGGGGAGAACATTAAACATCCTGCATGAATGACAAATGTTATAAGACATGAATTTATGATGAAAAAGATTAACTGAAGAAAATAATAGTCTGAAAAGCCTAGTTAGCAGTTTTCATATTGCATATCACAGAAATGTTCTCTTGGCTCTGATTTTAAAAAAACAATTTTAAGATTTATGTTGTTGGGTTTTTTGTACTTTTATTTGAGCTCCCGGAATATGCTATAATCATGAAGCCACCAAGCTGTATCTAATCTGACCTTAAGCATGGACAATTAAGAAATTATATGGAGTTGTAACTCGTACAGAAGTGGTATTCAGCAGGTTCTGGCCAGTTCTGGAGAACTGGTAGTGGAAATTTTTTGAGTAGTTTGGAGAACTGGCAAATACCACCTCTTACTGGAGATTTTACAATATCATTCCCCTGCCATGCCCACCAAGCCATGCCCAGAATAGCAAAAAAATTTGAATCCCACCACTGAACTCATATATAATTTTATACTATAGCTAGGTGTCGATTAGGATTGCATTATTTAGATTTGCACTTGTCAAAGTGATATTTCAATGTTAAATATAGTAATTAGTTCATCATAATTTTTTACTTGTTTATTGAGGAAATATTACAGTAAAGGATACAACCGTACTGTAAACTTATAATTATTGTTAACATCAGAGATGATTTATGGAAAGCAAAACAAAAACAAAAAAAAAATTCTAAATATAATTCCTAAAAGTAAGCTTATTCTATTTTAAAATGAATCAACAGTGGCATTAAAAGTTTCTTTTACTTCATTATTATTTTTTATTTCACTCTCTTAAATTTAAAACTTTTTCCTGAATGGCTGCTCTACTAAGGGGAATGCATTTTGACTGTGATCTTCAATCCATATAGTTAAAATGCTCTGTTTTTATCCCTCTAACATTTCTATTCCTTGTAAATGCTTGCAAACCACAAGAAGTGATGCAGCTTTTTTCCCCTTTTATTCTTCCTGTGTGCTTTATAATATTGTGTTCTGTGAGTAAAGGCATCTGGACATTGTGTCCTATTTTAGAGTTGCTATGACCACGTTTGTGTCCTTCAATCACATCAAATGTTTGCTCTTCTGTAATAATGAGCCTCTTTTTTTTTTCTGAGCTTGCAGTGTTTTCCTTTTGTTCATTTTGCACACACAATGATAAACAAGTACTAATACCTCAGAAACCAATGATAACTCAACTGCTCAAAAGCTACTCTTGTATTAATGTGAATGTGGTTCACATTAAATGTGAAATATAAATTTTCACTAAATCAAATATGATGTTGTTCAGATTGGCTTTAATTGTGACCTAATGGTATTAATCCACATTGAGATTTTGAAACAACAGAGAATAATGGGAAGAAAAATATTTTTTGAAATATGTACTGTAAATAAGAAACAAATGCCCACTTTTGGAACTTTCAAAGGCCTTTGATGATCTCCTCTTTTGACATATGTTATGCTTTTTATGTAATTTTTTTTCTTTCCCCTTCATTTTTACAAATTGCTTAGTTCTATATGGAATTCACATGAGACTCTCTTCCTATATGGAACAGGATAGAGTAGCATAGCATAGGGTAGTGTAGAGTAGCATAGCATAGCATGGCATGGAGTAGAGTGGCATGGAGTGGTGTGATATGGTAGGGTAGGGTATGGGTATAGTGTAGGGTAGAGTAGAGACTAGTTTTTGTATTGATATTGGTATTGTATTGGCTTTAGTATTGGTTTTGGATTTTGGATTATATTGTGTATTGTTTTATTGGCCAGTTGTGATTGGATACACAAGAAATTTATCTCCAGTGCATAAGTGTTCAGTGTACATACAAACAACAAAGTAATGTAATCATATGATACAATAGGAGAAGTTAGTAGAAAAGATGAGAAGGATAATAGTAATATACCTATACTACATGGTGGATAAATAGCATTTCCCCATGTCCTAGCATTTTTGCTATGAAATTTAACAATGCATCTAGCTGTTAAATTAAATGCATTAAATATTAGAGAAACTATTCTCTGAGATGGGTGATGGACACATATTTTGCAATAGCCTATGCATCTCTTAGTCAGGATGCAACCATATATTCTGTTGTGATATGTTTACAAAGCAAGAAATCCTTCTGACGTATATTTTATTCTTGGGAGTAGACTTTTACCTACTCTTTAAAAATTATATTACAGGATATATTGCCCATTGCTGTGATTTTTCCCCTGGCAAGCAACTTGGGGTATCACAGAGTAAAAAACTGTGTGCATCTCCTATCTTTCATTACTAGGCATTTTAAAAGAAACAAGGATAAAAATGCACCTTGGGCTCAGTAAATCTCTGAGCTTCTGAATACTTTCCTGCATAATGGTCTTAACCAGCCACCTACCCTCTAGTTTCCATTTAAGATGGATTTAGCCTTGAAGGCTCCAGGCTGGAAAAGGCAGAAAGATCTATAGTGAAACACATGCCTGCAATAAGGAAAGACAAAGTGAGGGTAAAATAACCAAAAGGCAACAAGAGTTGAATCTGACATTATTCCCTTGGAAAAAGACTATGGAGACTCTTAGATGAAAGGAACACATTTTTGTAACAATTTACCTCTCCAAAATTAGAAATCAAATCCATTCTAAACTGAGATATAACACTTTAAAAATAGAATATAGAAAAGTTGGAAGGGGCCTTGGAGGTCTTCTAGTCTAACCTTCTGCTTAGGCAGGAAACCCTATACAATTTCAGACAAATGGTTATCCAATCTCTTCTTAAAAACTTCCAGTGTTGGAGCATTCACAACTTATGGAGGCTAGTTGTTTCACTGATTAATTGTTCTAACTATCAGGAAATTTCTCCTTAGTTCTAAGTTGCTTCTCTCCTTGATTAGTTTCCACCCATTGCTTCTTGTCGTGCCTTCAGGTGCTTTGGAGAAATAAATTACAATATTCTATAGCTAGAAGGAAGTGTTAGCCAAATCATTTGGAGGTATCTTCTATAATCATAGTATCTCACACATCTACCTGATTGAGGTCAATAAACTGTAATCCTTCTATCGTACAAACTTCAAAACAATCAATCATCTTACCTGTTTTTTTCAAGGAGATTCGAGAAAAGGAAAAACTGAACAAATTGTCTTCATTGAAAAAAGTCCCTGATCTTTATTTATATCTGTTCTTGTTAATTGATGCAATTAGTATGCATTAATTATTTGGACCATTTTGTAGAACAAGTCATAAAATGAATGAATATTACTTCTGTGTTCATCTGAAAACAATCAAGTGAGAGAACCAGGAAACTATTATTACAGAAAATTAGAGGTAGCTGAAAGTTACCCATGATGTATATAATTATCCTATCTTGTAAGTGACAAGTTACTGAGATTACAGATTTATCAATTGCACAGGAATATCCAATGAGCTTTGAAATATTCATACATATAATTTCCTTTTTTGGATGGCACATATCTCACTATTATTTCCAATACAACCAATACAACTCACTATTGTTTCCAATACAACCTACAAACTATGTTATCAATCCTTTGCTTACACTCCATTTAATTTTAAGATTAATAAACTCACTTCTCCTTTTTATAGAACCACCTATTGTTCCTGCAATCAATTATGTAGCATAGTTTTTTAAAAAACATTTATCCTAAATGGTAAGAGGTCTTACCAATCTAATTACTCCTCAACTGCACACGAAGTTTTCCTGGATTTAAAACTCTGTTAAGAGATACTAAATTCAAACAACTTCTTTAACAGAGTATCCCCTGAAACATTTCCTGCTTCTGTTTCTAGACAAGTCAGGCAAAGACCAAGGATCAGAGCTTGTAGAAGGTTTGTTACTCAATATGGTTGCAAACTCTGAATCACAAAGTTCAAGAGTCAAAACATACAGAGGGAGAGCTAATGGGCAATTGTCATCAAAAGGGGGACTTGAGTTTGCTTCTCTCTTAATAGAAAGAGCTCTAGTGTGGCTCATTTAGAGGGGCAAGACTCCCTCATAAACAGACTTACAAAGCACCTTTGGTTTTCTCTCTTTGCAGCCCAATGACCTTCTCAATTGAGAAGGGATGGTACTTCCACACCTTCATCTTGAAGAGCAGCTGCAGTTATGTCTGCTGGTCACTAGCCAATCACACTTCTTCTGACAAGTTAACAGATAATCAGAGTTGGAAGGGACTTGTAAGTCATCTAGTCCAACACCTTGCCCAAGCAGGAGACCTTACACCATTTCTGACAGATGGGAGTCCAATATCTTATTGAAAGTCTCAAGTGATGGTGCTCCCACAACTTCCGAGGGCAAACTGTTCCATTGGTTGATTGTTCTCACTGTCAGAAAGTTTCTCCTTATTTCCAGGTTGAATCTCTCCTTGTTCAGTTTCCATCCATTATTCTTTGTCTGGCCTTTGGGTGCTTTGGAGAATAGCTTGACCCCTTCCTCTCTGTGGCAGCCCCTCAAACATTAGAAGACTACTTCTCTTCACTAGACTAGCCAAGTCCAGTTCCTGTAACCGTTCTTCATACATTTTAGTCTCCAGTCCCCTAATCATCCTGGTTGCTCTTCTCTGTACTTTTTCTAGCGTCTCAACATCTTTTTTATAGTGTGGTGACCAAAACTGATTAAAAAAAGAGTTCCTTCATTTAGCTGCTTATTGTCAATCTCTTCCTTTGACTCTGAATCTGAGCCCATATGACAGCACCCAAGAATTTTAGATCAATTGCTATTCCTAACATTAATAGGAATAAACTATGAGCCTCTTCTAAAACTTCCCATTCATGTAGTAGAAGCCAAGAGACCACCATTTTAGAATTCAGTTTGGGAAAAAAAACCACTGTTTTCACTTCACATAACAGAAAATAACAGAATAACAGTTAGAAGGGACTTTTGTGTCCAACCCCCTCTTTAAGCAGGAAACACTATACTATTTCAGACAAATTGTTGTCCAATCTCATCTTTAAAACCTACAGATTTTAAGCCTCTGTGCCAGAGACAACTTGTTATGATTAGTATTACTATTTATATGCAATCTACCAGATAATTCTGACAACATTTGGTATTTTTGAATATTGGATACTCGCCAAGAGACTAGGATAGTTAAAGATACTGTATATACTCTAATGTACACTGTGTTTGAAACAATACCAACTTTGTCATTGATGATTTGAGTTTCTATCTATTCCTATAGCATACAATGCTGTTCCATATATTTTGATATTGCACCAAGCACAATTGTAAGTAAGGCTATTCCCCACCCCCCAATAATTTATGCCATTATTGCCATTTGTTGTCAAAGTTAAGACTTGTAATATTCAAAAGAATGGACCAAAAGAAATATTGAGTCTGAAGCTAAAATGGATACGAAGATGTTAAGATAATTTATATCCCCTTTGAGTTGCTGGAACGATGAGAGAAATCAATTGTCTACTTCATTTTTACTTCATTTGAGCTGTTGCTCAGAGATAGTTTGAAATTTGGAAGTGGTAGGTAGAAATAAAGTTTTTGCTTCACTGCTCCACTAGCTTTAGCAATTATTTTTCCATAACTACTGCACATAATTGCATCCGTTTCAAGGACGGCCTATTAGCTCCAACATATTCCTAGTGTTTGCAAGTGTTTATTTGATTTTTTTCAGTTTATTTCTTCCACTATAATTGTAGTTGAGAGAAAGAACAATATTTGGGGCTTGTTTATAAGATGTGCCCTTGAAGGGTCACTAGAAGGGTCAGACCAAGAGACGCTAACAAGGCATACCTCTCCAGGCACTCGTGAAGGGCAGTCTTTATTTAACTCACTTATAGGGGAACCAAACTTAGATCTTCAAAAATATGAAGACTGCTGATCAACACTGCTTATACGATTAACTGAATCAAAACTAATGACACTGTAAATCAAATGGCATTAACATTAGCAAAATGTTGGAAGATTCCACAAAGCAATACTTTCTAGGCTAGTACTTCTGGGAGCAGTATTATACACTTTAGGCTGAAACAAAATGAGAAGGTATTAAAGAGATAGTGCTTCTCAAATGTAGGATAGGAAGAGTGAAAAATGATCTTATTTAAAACCTAGGAGAACTCCTACTTCCTTTGATGAAAAAGGCTTTTCCAAGTCTTTTTTTAAAAATACATTTATAAAAAACCTATATGGAGAAGTCAATGGGGGCAACAGAAAAATTCTCTGGTATCACTTTTACAAGATAAAAACCCTTATTAACATTATAGTAATTAATAACTAATATGCCACAACATCTCAGTAGAGTTTTTTCTAGAGCAGGGTCTCCAACCTTGGCAACTTTAAGACTTGTGGACTTCAACTCCCAGAATTCCTCAGCCAGCTTTGCCTGGCAACTTTAAGTCCACAAGTCTTCAAGTTGCAAAGGTTGGAGACCCCTGCTCTAGAGCTCACTTTGAACAAGTAGACTCCATGTTAAGTTACGAGAAGTTTCATAGAGTTCCATTTGAAGGAAGAGTATGCATTTCGGGAGCACCATCTGCTGAGACATTGGGCATACTCTTCAATTATGAACTGTATTTTGCAGAAAGGACTGCTTATTTAAATTTGTATTTAAAAACTAAAAAATAATAATACTGGGGACCCTGGGAGAAACCAGTTTAGTTTCAGTTTTAGCAGGAAATGAATTTGCCTATCACTAATAAGACTGGACTCTTAATTTCAAAGGGCCTTTCAAAAAGGATCAAATATTTAGATCAGATTGTGGTTTACTGTAGGGATGATAACTTACTGTGAAAATGCCCTATTGTTTTCTTTGTATTTACTTGTATATTTTTACTAGGGTTTTTTTTTTTTGACATGGTCAAATGATTAAATCAATAAAGTTTCTATTCTGAATGTTATGGCAAACCTGGAAAAGAACTAGAGCTAGGGGTCTGAATCTCAAATTAAGCTAAGATTTAAGGCCTTACCGAAGCAAAAGGCCTATTACAGTGGTGTCTGTTAGGTATAACATTGGTCACCTAACTAGTTTGGGTAAGATAAAATAATATATAAGCTATGATTCTTAGTTTAGAGTATGTGTTACTTTAAATGCAAAGCATGTAATTTGGGTGTGGTGTGAAAAACACCATAAGAGGCAGCAAGAGACGCTGACGATTCCCTGACGTTTTGCTGGCAATTACTGGAGAAGGAAGAGAGGAGTTTGAGTTTGTGCATATCTCTCTCTACTGTGAAGAGATAAATTACCGGACTGTTATTTTGTAAGTGTACCGACCTCTCATTTCTGACATTGGAATTTTGCAACTTGATAATCCCTGGACGGACTGAAATAAGTGTATGACATATGGACTGTTTTGACTATGCTTAAACTATTGCTGGAATAAAACTAATTTAATTGGCACTGTATCTGCTTTTACTGAGTGTAAGCTACACAACACTTATCTCACATATTTTGCCTGCCTGCCTGACTGCCCTGCAGATCTTGCTAGGGGTATATCCCTAACAGTGTCAAGTTCACGTTGTCATGGCGGTGTCATGTGACGTATCAGGACTTTTTTTCCCCTTCGCTAAACTGGGTGTGGGTGTGGCCAGCACATGACACATCCGGACCACGGCCCAGGAGTTTGACAGCCCTGGTATATTAGCAGGGCTCACACAAATCATTGCTTATTCATACATGCATGGCCATATAAACTCCAATCCAAAAAGTGAAGCTTTAGAAAGAAAACGTGTCAACAGACTTTTAAGAAGCCTATTAGCTGTTGTCTCTCTCTTTCTCTCGAGATGACATTCTGCCTGTTTGACTTTGTCAGGCACTTGTTTCATCCAGTTCTGCAGGTAAAATAAAAGCTACTCCTGTGGGACTACATTTGTGCATCTGTCAGATGCTTGACTCAGAGGAAAGGCTTTGAAGGGGACTGAACTACAAGAGGAAAGATGCCTCCAGAGGCAAGATGACTGGTTAATGCTGGTGATTGTTTTGGTGTCATTTGGGGATTGAAATTGTTTAGTGGAGGACTCTAAAAGGGTTTGGTGGAGGAGAAGGCAGCATTTTGTTACTTTTTTGAAACTTTCCAACACACAATATTCAGAAGTGTCAGCTTTGGAAGCAACCTCACTTTAGTAATAGTATAATATTCAGCACAGCTGTTCTTTGCTCCTTTGCTGAGAAATTTTCTTGATGGAGAACTTAGAAGACCAGCTACTCTGCTGGTGTAGCCAACAGCACTGGTACATTTAAAGCATTTTCCAGAATCCTGCCTCTTAATGGATCCATAAGCATTTCAAATTCAGGTAGATTGCAACAGCAAAAAAAAAAAAAAAAAACCCTAGAACTGATATCTGTAATACATTACGATGGCATTAAGCCTCCACAAAGTGCTGTACTTCCAAATTGATGAAGGAATTCATGACCTGAGGACTATGAAAGGTGCCAGAAGGTAGCCTCGGAATTGAATAATGGTGGCACTTCAATTTGTCTCTTAAGAAACAGGGGGCAGTTTTCTCTGTGCCACGTATGGGAGAAAATAGGGGATGGAACAAAGTGAAAGTCATAGATTTTTCATCCAAATTACTTCCTTGGACAATCAGAGTCCTGCTTATTAACGGGGAACTTAGATGGAGAAAGATAAGCATCTGCCATTAGGACATACACAAATTACTTTAAAGGTTTCAAGAGAGAGAACCTGAATGCACATTCAGGATTGAGTATTCTGAGGTGATTTCCCCAACACCACCTATTTTTCAGTACTGCAGAAATCTGTGAAATTTATTGAGGCATTTATACATCCAGGAGGACCCCATCTTTAATTTATATCTCTTGGGTAGATTAGTGTAGGAATTTAGAAAGACTCTTTAGGGAACTGAAGAATCTTTAAAGAGGGATGAGAAGTTAATTTGTTGTGAAAAGGACCAAAGTAATCGGTGAGGATGCAGAAGGGAGTTTTTCTTTATTGGTAACAAAAATACACATAGAAGTAGAACTAATTAAATTTATCAGTGTTGTGGACTTCTAATATAAACTACACATTTCAAGCAATCTTAATATGCCTTTTAATACCTATAAACATGCCTACTCACCATGTGCACACATATACAGTGCATTCAGAAAGTAGTCAGACCCCCTTCACTTTTATCAATTTTGTTATGCTGCAGCCTGATTCTACAGTTTTTGAAATTCATTTTTTTCTCATTAATCTACACTCAGAACCCCATAATGACAAAGTAAAAACAGAATTTTAGAAATGTCTGTAAACTTATTAAAAAGAAAAAAAATGAAAATAACACATTAGCATATTCGGACCCTTTGCAACAACACTTGAAATTTAGCTCAGGTGCCTTCCATTTCTTATTTGATCCTTGCTGACATATTTCTACACTTTGATTGGAGTCGACCTGTGGTAAATTAAATTGGTTGGACATGATTTGGAAAGGCACACACTTTTCTATAGAAGTCCTCACAGCTGACAATGCATACTGTAGCAGAGCAAACTCATGAAGTCAAAGGAACTGCCTGCAGAGGCCTGGGATAGGATTATTGCAAGCCACATATCTGGAGAAGGCTATAATAAAATTTCTGCTGCACTGAAGAGTCCTAAGAGCACAGTTGTCTCCATAATTCTCAAATGGAAGAAGTTTGGCAGGACTCTTCCAAGAATCCATCGAGTCAAATTGAGCAATTGGCGGGGGGGGGAAGGGCCTTAGTAAGAGAGGAGACCAAGAACCCAATGGTCACTCTGACAGAATTTCAGAGATCCTGTGTGGAGATAGGGCAGAGTTCTAGAAGGACAGCCATCACTGCAGCCATCCACGAATCTGGACTTTATGGCAGAGTGGCTAGATAGAAGCCTCCCCAGTGCAAAACATGGAGTTTCACACACACGCGCGCACACACACACACACACACACACACACACGCACGCACCTGATGGACTCTCAGACTGTGAGGGACAAGGTTCTCTGGTCTAATGAAACCAAGATTGAACTGTCTGACCTCAATTCTAAATATTATGTCTGGAGGAAACCAGGACCACTCATCACTTACCCAATATCATCTTAACAGTGAATCACTATGGTGGCGACATCATGCTGTGGGGGTGTTTTTCAGTAGCAGGGACTGGGAGACTAGTCAGAATTTGAGGGAAAGCTGAGTGGAATAAAGTGCAGGGATATTCTCAGTGAAAACCTGTTCCACAGCACTTAGAACCTTAGATTAGGTTGAAGGTTCACTTCCCAACATGACAACAATCCTAAACACACAGCCAAGACAAGACAGGAGTGGCTTAGGGACAACTTTGTGAATATCCTAGAGTGGCCCAATCAGAGTCCTGATTTGAATCCTACTGAATATCTCTGCAGGGACCTGAAAATGGGTGTCCACTGATGGTCGCCATCCAACCTGACTGAGTTGAGAGGATTTTCAAGGAAAAAGGGCAGAAAATCCCCCAATCCAGGTGTGCAAAGCTTGTCATATCATATTTCTCCATTACATTCAAATCTGCCAAAAATTTTGGAAGCCTTTGAGGCATCAGGACCAACAGTGAAATTAACCAGTGTTTCAATTGTATCTATTGTTTAACTCTCTTCCTCTCTGCCTTTCTCTCTCTCTGTATGTGTGTATGTATAATGTGTATAATAACTTGCATTCTTTATTCTATAAAGGTCTGGAGTAAAAGTGCCAAATCCACCAAAAATTGGTTTCCCAGCTATTTATAAATAGGGATTACATATAATGTCAATTTCTCATTATTAAAGTTGGAGTCAAAATTTAATTTAATTCCTTACAGTATCTAAAAGTGTGTAGCCATATTTAATGCTAGATAAATAATCAAATTCCTTCTATAGTTAAGTATAGGAATTTGCCAGGGCTCTAAGGGAACTTTGCTACTAAATGGAATAAGGATCTTTGAATGAGAAAATTCATAATCTTGGAAATTCTCTTGATGATTCAGGGTTTATTCCACTTTGCTTATTCTGTGCTTGTTTGTTGACATATAAAAATAGTTATTGACAGTGGAACTACTCCTAAAAGAGGAGGCATGTATATTTTTTATCCTGCACTCTGTTTCAAATACTTGAATGTCGTCTATGAGTTTCCTCCTATCTTGTTGCTATGGCACAGTTATGTAAGCACATCAATAGCAAAGATGCAAAGGAATGAGATGATTCAAACTGCCTAGTTTAAAAAAGTATTTGTCAGACATCAGATGATACCACCAGGATGAAGTATTTCTACCAAAGTGTCTGAAATCTTGTGATTGATTGTTCATAATTATAATACCGTTTCCCCAAAATACAACCTACCCTCAAAGTAAGCCCTAGCTTGATTTTTTTACATGTGCACCCAATATAAGTCCTACCCCCCAAAATAAGCTCTAATTTTGAGTGCATCCACTCCAGAGTGCACGGGTAAAAATTAAGCTAGGGTAGGGATAAGGGGGGTGGAGCTGCCCTACTATTTATCTTTGGACAGTTGTTGCCAGGCCTTGCACACCCCGACACCTGCCTTGCTAGCCCATTTCTTCTGCAGCTGGCAAGGCTTTCCTGAAGACCTCTGTAGCTGATCAATCCAAAGCTCTGTTATTAGCTACAGAGGCCTTCAGGAAAGCCTTGCTGGATACAGAAGAAGTTCCTGAAGGCCTCTGAAAGCAAAAAGGAGACTGGGGGTGATGTGCGCAAGTGAGGTTAGTCAGTGGATGACATCGCCCCAAAATAAGACCTGATGCCTTTTTTGATGGAAAAACTATATAAGACAGGGTCTTATTTGGGGGGAAACATGATAATGGAAAACCCATTTTGAACAGTGTTTCTTTCTAAGTCCTTTTATAATTGGCTCGCTATTCATATAGAAATAATCTTGGCAAATAGATCAATATGTTGAGAATCCAAAAACCCGCTTCATATTGTATCTAGAAATCTATTAACAAAAGGAGCAGATACATATGTATGTCTTTTCAGTTAACCAAGGCACCCCTGCTTTAAGATTTCCATTTCAACAAGCTGTGTGTCATTTGTAAAATCAAGCCAGTCTCCTTGTAGCATATGTGTCATTATCAACAATAGCTAGATAATGAAAAGCTAGATCAGATTCTGAAATACTTATTCTAAAAAAATGCTAAACTGTATTAGATAGAAGCAAAAGGAATATAACTCTGAAGTAGCCTGGCTTTTCAGCATTGAGGAAAAGCAAAATGGAAACTTGCCTACATTGTAAGATTAAGTGAGCGTGACATGAAAATTGTGGAGGCAGAAAAAAATGAAAGCACTGGAGAAGTGTTAAATATTGTGTTAGAAGGAGTATCTATATTGTATCTGACTAGGCTGCCCTATTTAAATTAACCCACTTGACATGATGCTTTCTACTGCAGTTGGAAGCATTTAAGTTCTGTTTTTCCTGTTATATATTTGGTTTTCTCTTCTACCTTGGTAAAATATAATTAGAAGAATGGCCCTTTTTACAGATGAAGACTGAAGGCTAAGTAGGTAAAATGACCATAGGTTCATCCTCAGCATACCTTCATGAGATTCTTACCAATTCATTGAGGATTACCAATCACATTGAAAAAGGTAGTATCATTCAAGGTAACTTCTTACCTTGGTGGCTCAGTGGTTAGGATGAAGTATTGCAGGCTAACTCACTGCTCATTTCCAGAAGTTCAATTCTGACTGACTCAAAGTTGACTCAGCTTCCATCCTTCCTAGGTTGGTAAAATGAGGACCAGATTGTTGGGGGCAATATGCTGATTCTGTAAAACTGTTTAGAGAGGTCTATAAAAGTACCATGAAGCAGTATTTAATTCTAAGTGCGATTGCTATTGCTTCTTTCAAGATGCTAACGTAGCCTAGACATCTAAAGCTAGCAACAAGTATTCAAGTCCCTCATGGCCTCCAAGGTTCAAGGTTCATATATTGTTTGAACCTTTGACCCTTGAACATTTCTCTTGTTATTTACTGTTGATTTTGTACATCTTCATGAAAATTTTTGGACTGGATTAAACTACAAATCTCTGTCTCTCTATATAAGTTTCCTGGTCTCCAGTTTTGCTGTAGAGGTAACAGTTGATTCATTGGCTCTTTCAGAAGATGTACAGTTAGAAAACAAATTTCTCAGAAAGCTGAACTCTCTAGTGCATGTTTTCAGTGAAAAGAACATCTTTTTATTACAAAATAAATTGTAGCTATGTATGATGGAGCAAAGCTTGATTTAATGGAGCTTGGTTTACTTACAATTCAGATTCTACACCCATTTAAGGGATGAATATTTCTCGCACTGAAGTTTTTTTTCAGTTATATCCAGGATTTTATATTTACATGGATATCGATTCCTAATCACAGTGACACCAAACTGAACAAAAAAATGTTTTGCAATATTTCCAGCCTCCTTGATGGGTGATACATGTTTTATCACTTGTCCCCTTGGCAGATGACTAGGTCCATGAAATTGAAATTTAATTGCAAAAGACACGATTTACATCAATTACATAATCATGCAATCAACCTCAATGGATGCAAATGACACATATTTGGATTTAATGGACACTCTTCTCTCCTCAAATGGCCTGTTAAATTGAGGTTTTATTGTGTTATATGTGATGCAGAAAGAATGCGATGGATACCTTTTTCTGTCATACTTCTAAAGTATGTGATAGTATATGAACTCCATGGAAATTTAATTTTAAACTTACAAAAATCTATACCTAACATGAAGGTAGAAAACGAAAAAAAAAGGAACTGAAGAAGGGAACTAATATTTTCATAATCAAATACTTTTTCTGGGTATTTGAAACCAAGCTGGACTCTAGCACAGTAGGAAATAAGAGCAAGCAGGAGGGAAAATTTAAGCAAGAATCACCTTCAGAGTACAACAAAGTAGAATTTGGAAACTAAATATTTACCTTCAAAGATTTTAGTAGGCTTTCTTCTTTCTCATTTTAAATTGTATTGTGGGAAGCCACCTCCCCTCCTAGAAGAATGCAATATTTTGAGAAATATTAAAAAGGCAGAATATTATATTTCCGTGGATGAGAAATGTAGAAATACTCTCTTGGAAAGGAGCCCCCAACTTTCTTAATATCCCTCAGCAGATGTCAGCACTTAAAAGATAAAAAACTTATTGAAAGAAGCCAAGTATCTAGGTAGCTCTATTCATAAGCAAATATTCTTCACCCAAGAGCCAAAATGGAGCAAAGCCATTAATTATTGCATCACCCAGAAATTTGAACCAAACTTAGCTCAGACAACCTATAGAGCCAGCTATGACCCCTACATAACCCCTAAAAGAGCCAATAGAATACATGTTCTTGCACAGGAACAGGAAGCTCAAGTGCAAAGCCCAAGATAACGTCCCCCCCACTCTCAACTCCATGTGGTCAAGCACCCAGAATCACACGTGCTTGGTTAGTCTGCTTTATCAATAAATGGACACTCTTTCCAATCAGTCTCCAGCCTCTATTTTGTCTCCAGTGCCTTTCTCCTGGCTTGGAACTGAACCAGATGGATAATTCTTCCCACAGTATCTTTAAATAGAAAAATAGTGGAGCCCTTGGCACTCATTTCAGAGATACAAAAAGACCTTTAAAATCATTTTCCTTATTTAAAAAAAATACCAATTCTTTTTACACTTACTGATGTTATATCATCAATTATTTTTTCTTTCATTTTCCCCCTTGTTCACTTTTTAATTAAAAAAGAGCATTGTCTCACGGTGGGTAGGTGGGAAAACAAGCATGAGAAACAAGCTTACTTAATATCTAGGTGCAAAGCATCTTTTTTTTGAGCCAAATTGTTAGTGAAGTGTGATCCTCCATCCCTGCTTCCAAAATATAGGTTTTCTCTCAAGAATAATTAGAAAATATTCACTATTTCATAACCATTCTAAATTAGCTTATAATTTCCTTGCAACTTTACTTGGAAAATGTAACGTAGAGATGGGAAAGCTAAAGCATTGCTAAACAAAAACCCTCTCTGTGGGGCTGCTGAAATTTTGATACAGTAGCAGCTTTGCCAGGTTGAGGAGCAGGTGACAATAAGTTCATCCTCTAGTTGGCGGGTATCTCTCTGCCATATGGAAAACATCTCCTCTGTTATTTTGCTTTCTCCTCAGATGACCCCTTCCTCTGGAACTGAATTTGGTGTTGGTAGGTAACTATTCATGTCCTGAGAGAAACAGTAAACCTGGAAAAGAGAGAGAAAAACACAAGGTGATTGCTCAAACCAACTCTTTCCTATTGTAATGGTTCTTCTATATTAAAATGCAGCCATTAACAAAAAAAAATATAGATTATCGTGAAGAACAAATAAGTACACACAGTTCAGATTTATCTGGCTCATACGAGGACCAGATACAAAACGTATCTGGCTCACTCAAGAACCAGATAGCATCAGATATAATTCACACAAGGTCCTTTATGCATGTTGTACAAACATACCAATTTTGGTTCCATATAGCTATAAGCCTGGGCACCTAAATTGGAGCTTCAATTTTTTTTCTTAATCTGAAACTTAATTTGATTTAAAAAAACCAAACATGTTTTATTGGCACAAAGAACATCTTGCAGATGCTTGCTCCTGCTTAGTTCACACTAATTCTGAGCTATTTTGGAATAATTTAAGGTAAAATACAGTCTAGTTGAAAACTAATCTATAGGGGATTGACTCTGCATAATCTTGGGGTCCTTTGCATAAATTATATTCCCAAGAATGTAATGAGATGTCATGGAAGCCTCTCATAAGAATAAATTCTTAATAAGAAGAATTATGAGAATGCTAGGCAATAAGACTTCTATTAAGAATTTGTTTAAAAGTCTTATGGGTGGACTAAAATGTTGATAAGTAAATTGGCTTGTTTCAGTTTACTAGTTGCTCTTATTACTTGGATGGAAAATCATCAGAAATCACAGGGTTGTAGGCTGGAAGGTTAAGGAAAAATAAAAAGCAGAAGTAATGGAAAACATCCTTCATATCAGAGGTGGTATTCAGCAGGTTCTGACCAGTTCTGGAGAACCGGTAATGGAAATTTTGAGTAGTTCGGAGAACCAGCAAATACCACATCTGACTAGAGATTTTACAGTATCCTTCCCCTGCCACGCCCACCAACCCATGCCCACAGAACCGGTTGTAAAAAAAAATTGAATCCCACCACTGCTTCATATGATAGCAAAGAAAATGACATGGACTCATCTCCAGAATTTGACTTGACAAAGTTTTAACTTTCTTGTGAAAGTGCTAAGCATTTTACCAAAAACTGGATTACAAATTTTCTTGCTCCTGCCATTTGAACTATTTCATCAACAAATTAGTTTTAGAAGATATAAATTTAAATTTACCCATATAGATAACCATCCATTTTTAACCCACCCCTATCTTTTCAATTAACCTATTTAATTGGGTTGATGGCACCCTGAAAAATGTTAATACTAAATTTCAGATTGCTTCCAATTTAGACATGCGCTTCTTTAAAAGGTTGTAAGTACCCATCAAGAAACAGCCATAGACATTGCAGAAAAGCAAATGAATCTATAACTTTAACTTGGAAGGGCAACAGACTGTAGCTATCGGAATGACTGCCAAATAAAAGATGCAGAATTGTTCTGTTTTTATGAGGTAAATTAAAGTTTCTATTCCATGTTCCATGTGCTAGTAACAAGCCACAAAAAGCCTTAAAGACAGTGACCCATTTCTGCTGAGTATTTACAATTGTTTCTGTTTTCTAAACAAGGATAATATAGAACAAATGATAGGTAAGAAAATGCACAAAGGATTGTAGTGGATAAGAAGGTATCCCAAGGAAAAAAGGGAAAACCATGGAAACTGTCAATTCTCAGTTTTGCTTTTATTTCCAATAGAATTGGCATGAGGGCAATCATAATGTGAGAGGGATCTGACACAGAGGATGAATAACCATAAAAACAGCAGTAAAAAAAGGGTTGTGTCCCCATAAAATTGTACAAATCTCCCCTCTTGGGTGTTGCTGGATTTTAACTATATTCCATCCTATGAACTTAACAGAGCTGCATGCTGAGAAACTTTTAAATATGAATGTGAGGCAAGACGTATGATTATGCCTTTAAAAAATTAACAAGTCTTAGGTATTTAATGATCACATTCTTTCCATTAAATATGATATATTTTGCTATTTCTAGCCTCTGCTTAATCACAGTGATGGAATTACAATTTTGTTTTCACTAACCGTGATTTACTTAGTGCAGCTTGATTTATAGCATCAAGGATTTGTTTTGTTAATGGAACATTTTAATTTGCCATGCGTGACAGAAAGCACTTAAAATTACTTTGAATGTGTGTATTATATTACTGTTGACTTCCAGCCACAGCGTGAAAGCAAAATGAAATTACTTATGTAAGCATTTTTTTCAAGCTATCTTTATATGAAGAGATGGATTTCATACCTCATGCAGATATGAGTTCTGCATTTCTACTGTTTCCCTTGTTGTTTTGTACTGTGGCAGTGCTCCAAGACCCCTGCTGAAATGATTTGAATATGCAAAATGTCTGTGGATGCTTGTGGCTTCCCTAATTTGGAGAGAAATGTCACCCATAATTTACATAAGCATGTTCTGAGCACCTGCTTAATTGTAAAGCCAGGGGCTTTCTGGGCACAGGAATTATAATCATTCCATAGCTTTTAATGCCATGAATGATATTCCAAAGCTTGTATGCGTGCATGTGTGTGCACATGTGTATACTTGTGTATATATATCCATGCAAAGCTCTGAAAAGCTGGTTTATTATGATCATGCTTTGCAAAAGCAATATAGATTCCACCTCCAATAGTTGAACAGCTTCTCGGCAGTCACTCTTGAT